CATTTTCTCTCTGCTGCTGTCCATTTTGTCCGGTGTTGTCCATATTGGGCCACTTTAAAATGGGGGGCTTCCACCCCCAAGATTCCCTGAGCCAGCCATGCTGGCTGGGGAATTCTGGGAGTTGAAGTCCACTCATCTTAAAGAGGCCAAGTTTGGACAACACTGTACAAGATGCACAGCAGCAGAGATAAACTGGAGAGTTTGCTTACGTAGGAACTAGATGTGATGTGCTCTGCTTTTTCTCACCTTGCAATAATCTCACAAGCAGAATAGACAAATAGTAAGTTACTAGGATTTTTTAAAAAATTAATAAACATTCAAGCTTAAAACAGAGACCCAGATTTCTGTGTAACTGTAGAATTACAAACTTCCTTATCCAGACCATAAGGAAGATATATTTATTAACCTGCTCCAAAAGAGAAGCATATTAGCTCGTAACTTATTTTCTACCATTATAGTTAAAGTGAGTTGTTCGGAGCTCCAAAAGTCCTATTTCAAATGTCACATACTGTATGTTTATACATCTATTAAGCCATAATGAGGTTGGGGGTGGACTAGAATCTGGACTTTTCTATTCCTAATCCAACACCACATTGGTTCTAGTGTTTAGCTCTCCCACTCGTGCTACAATCCCAATCTCCCTGCCTACCGTTTTCCTAATTTATGAAAACTATAGTTTAATCAATAAACCATGGTTTAAATTTGCCATGCAAAACAGGGTATGAAACAAAACAGCTTCACAGCATCAGTTTATATCAGTCTTTCATACAGGAGTTCAAAGCAGCATACATAACATTCCCTCCTATTATTCCTCATAACATGTACCCTGTAAGGCTGGTAGTATTTAATTCATTTTCTGGAAAAAAATCTTATCCATTCTTAGGATTCTATTTAGATTTGCATTTCTATTCATTTGAATAGTCAAGGCAGGATTTTATATAAATCGAGCAGTTTGACACAGATATGTGGTTAATATTTTCATCAAGAAAGTAGTAGCATTATGATAAACATTTTCTGAATGCTGCCTTCTGAACAGGCCACGTGGAATGTTTAATACGGGCACTAAATGCAGATGGAAACAGAATTGTAGGAGTAGAAACACATTCTTTTATCAAGAGCTTTTGGAGTGGGTGACAACTCGGCAAACACAGGCAAGCTAGAAAAAACATCCATATATCAAACTGCACCAAGGATAAACTTGGAGATTCTAAATGATATATTTGACATCATAAAGAAGACTGAGAAGAGAATTAAAACAAAGAATAATTCTTTCTTGGTGCCTGCAAAATGATCCTACCTACCCTTTTTTGATTTAGAAGAATGAAATTAAGAAATAGATCCCATGGAAAGAGTGCTTGAGAGATGCTTTGGAAAGCGCCACACTGTAAGACAAGCAGGTTAATGGGCACCTTACGCAACATGGGTAATTTTCAACCTGCCCCTCTAGCAGTTGGATGCCTATACCAGCCTTCCCCAGGCAGGAAGGGAAAGACCATAAAAGTTGTTATTGGATAAAGTTGACAAGATCCAGAAAAAGAGAGAGGTGACAAGTTAACAAACAGAAGGCAAACTATGAAGTGGTGAATTGATGTAGCGGAAGTCAGGGTAGAAAGATGTGGAGGGTATAATGAACAGTATCAGATAGTTTCTCTAAAT